CAACAATTCCTGGTACAGGGGCTCAGATTTTAGAGACCAGCGTACGTGTGAAACAAGAACAAAGCAAGCCTCGCGTAGTGTAGTTGTGCCACCGCAACCCCTGTTCACACTTGGTTGAACTGCCCCTGCCCTCACATGCCACCATGCTGGGGTGGCTGTACACCTACCCCACAGGTATCTTGAATCTCCAGTGCTCTGGTTTTCAACTTTCTGATGCTGTGACCCTTTAATACAGTCCCTCATGTTGTGGTGACCCCCCAACCATAAAATTATTTTCGTTGCCACTTCATAACTGTAATTTTGCTACTGTTATGCATTGTAATGTAAACATCTGTGTTTTCCAATGTCCTTAGGCGACCCCTACGAAAAGACCGCTTGACCTCCTCAAAGGGGCCTCGACCCACAGATTGAGAACCACTGCTCTAGTGGCTTCTTGTCCTGTCCTTAGCACTGAGCAAGGGCCTTGGTTGTATATAGGTAGGTGTTCAGAGGTGTGCAGAGGAGATCCAGACAGGAACAGATGGAGGCCTCGGGGTATCCTTGTTCTCACTCCCACTGGGAACCTCAGAGCAGAAGGGAAAGTAGAGTCCGGAATGGAGACCAGAGAGCACATTCTGAACACTTGGCTCTCCCTCCTGGATCCCCCACACCAGATCCTCCCCTTAGAACCCCCAACTTACTTGGTTGTTACCAGGCTGGAAAACAACCCAGGTGTTGTCTCTTAAGCAGCATCATGTTAACCCCAGTCTCTGACATACAAGGAACAGTATGTCACAGGGCTCAGGGGACTTGGATTACAACAATAACAACACATACGCATTTTTCCTCGTAACTTCCAAGTTCTCATTCACGTCCTCACGACAGCCTTGCAAGTCGATTTTGTCACACACACCCCCGCCCCATTTTGTAGATGAGGAAACAAAGGGTCAGGAAAATGAAGTGTCTTCTCTTAGAACATGTACCACGGCCAGGACTTGACCCGGGTCTTTCGTCTCCCTCCACTCCTTGCTTGTGCACTAGGTCCTGCAGTCTCTGGTTCAAACTCTGCCCTGGGCAACCTTTTCTGGGCCCCTGTGTTTCCAGCTGTGGATTGGAAGCCACCCACTCTGTGGCTTTGATTCTCAGCTTCAGCAGATAAGACAATTGGGCGGCCTGTGGAAAGTGCCTGGGGAGGGAGAGTCCTTTGGTCTCCTTCAGTCACTAGCTGCTGTTTCACAGTCACCCTTCCAGGCCCTTCCTGTCCCAGGCACATACAGGCTTTTCGCTTCCACCCCATTATCACTTCATTTGTAGAATTTTAAGGTTCGTTACCTGGGAGCTAGGAGCTCACACCTCCAATTCAGTTTCTCATACATACCTTCGTGATGTGACGTGTGAAAAGAGGCCTTATTAACAGTACCTAGCCTGTCACAGCCTCGTCTGGGGGGCATCTAGATCAAGGAATGCAGCAGCGCCAGGGCATGGAAACAGCATGGCTGGCTGCAGTGCGGAAGCCTCTGGACCCCTGGAATCTGCTCTTGGCCTTTGAGAGTCCTGGGGCTGTTATCATGGTCAGCAGAACCCAGCCAGAGTCAGAGCTGCTTTGAGTAGTCAGTTGGCCACCTTCTCCAGGTCTAAAGCTCCTGCCCCTTCCCCAGCGCCCCCAAACTCCTCCCCGAACAGCCCCTGTGCCTGCCCAGCTCCCCTACCTCCTGGACACTTGTCCAGGATTGATTGTCTGGGCAGCTCCCCCTCTGAGCAGTAAATGAAATATTGGTCACCAGGAGTGAGGCAGGAGCCAATTAACCCCTAGACCTCGACATGGCAGATGTGTTGTAGGAAGCTGAAGCGGAGGGCTGAGTGCACCTGCCTGGCCTTCCTGCAAAGTCATCCAATTAGGGCAGTCCCCAGCAGTGGACCCCACTGCCCCCTCTGGACCCGGTAACCTCAGAAACCAGGGTGACGCTAGCACCTATGGCTGGCAGCTGCCTGGACAGAGAATGGGCTGCCATTCCTATGTGAGTGAACTCTGGGGATATCTCCATCCTCACTCCCTGACAGAGACGTTCTTCCTTAATTAGTCACATGTCTCTCTAAAGCAGCGGGAGTGAGGGGTAACCTAGGGAGACTTCTTGCTTCCATTCCCTAGAGTGTGTGTGTGGGTAACCTGGGGAGACTTCTTGCTTCCACTCCCTAGAGTGGGGGAGGTAACCTGGGGAGACTTCTTGCTTCCACTCCCTTGAGTGTGTGTGGGGGTGACCTGGGGAGACTTCTTGCTTCCTCTCCTTAGAGTAGGGGGAGGTAACCTGGGGAGACTTCTTGCTTGCATTCCCTAGAGTGGCCTTGCATTCTATCTGTCCAGCCTTCTTCCACTCCCCACCTAGCCCTGCCCCGGAATATCCCTGTGCCTAAAAAGCCCCAGACTGAGGAGGCTGAGGGGGAAATGGGCCATCTGCTCTTAGAGAACTCCCAGCTTAAAGGAGGCAATCTTGTCTTCAAGTTACCCTAGCTCACAGGTAGAAACAGTCCCCTCATCTCAGAAAGGCCTAGACGAACAGAAAAGTAAACTTGTCCCTACCCACAGAACTACGAATGGGAACCACCACTACATTGAGGGATCAGTTACTGTGGGAAGCAGATATACAGCTCTCTGTCAAGGAGTTAGATGGCAGTGTTTAAAGAAAATACAGACTTTGAGGTCCCACGAGTCTGATGCAGGAGACACAGCTCTTGCCCCTCATCAGCTGTCTCTCATCTGAGGGAGAAAACAGATTTTTGTCTTTAGGGAGTCACTGTTAGATGGAGAAGACACCTTCTAGTAGATTCCCTTGCAGCTGGGATATCGCCTAAGTGTCAAGCAGCTGGCATCGCGGGACATTCCCGGAGCCTTGCAAAGGTAGAAAAAATCCTTGACTTCAGTCCATTCCTAGGTGTGCCATAGGCATCCTACCTGGCCATAGGCAAGTCACGAATCTGTGAGCCCCCATCTCTCAAAATGACATGAGGATTAGCAAGTCACCAGACAGAAATGCAAAGCAGCCAGCTAGCCAAGCACTCACTGTAGACACAATTAGCATACTTTTGGTCATACCAGAGGTCCTGGGACAGTCCTTATGGTCTCTAGGTTAGGGCAGACACCCCCAAGTATGGTCACTGGGTAATTCTGAGCCAGTGTGGCTATTAAAGAGTCAGAGGCAGCTGTGGATATCCCTGGGGACAGGAGGAGTGCCTTCTAATCTAATCACACTTCCCACTGAGTCTCTAGTTTCATCCAGAGCTGCCAGGGGTTTTATTGGGTTTATGGGGACCTGCAGATTTCAATCTCCAGATCCCACAGGGAGGGAACAAGCATTAAACTAATTTTATTAAATGGCCACAGCTGGCAGCGGGGGGGGAAATAGGGGAGAGAAGGGAAGATAAAGAAAGCCATTCAAATCTGCCAGCCATGACAAGGGTCCATACATGGGGCCTGGCCAGGAGGGTGGCTACCCCTCCTTCCTGTCTCTCCAGCTGAGCCAGACTGGCGAGCCAGATGGGACCTTTCCTCAATGTAGAGCCTTGGCATTCTCCAAAAGCCCCAGCCCGTGGCGGCGGCCCATGGCAGATGCTTATTAATGCATCAGGCCTCTGTAGGGCTGGGGTGGAAGGAGGAGAATGGGGCAGGGCTACCTCAGCTCCAGTCTCAGCTCTGCTTTGAATATGCCAGTTCCTTATGAATATGGAGCACTGGGTAAGAGCGCTATCCTTGGCTCAAAGGTTGGCATTTGCCTGTTTGTAGCCCCGTGGTTTGGCCAGCTACATAACCTCTCTGAGCTTTGGTGTCTTTATCTAAAAGTGGATAAAATTGCCAGGTGTAGAGCAGAGCATCTGTAACCCCCGAGAAGCTGGAACAAGAGGCTCATGTGAGGTAGGGAGTGATGACCCACCGGGTAAGATGGTGAGCAAGACGCCACCTCAAAATAAACATATCATTAAAATGTACAAAATATGCTGGGCATTGGTGGCTCACACCTCTAATCCCAGCACTCTAGAGGCAGGCGGATCTCTGCGAGTTGTAGGTCAGCCTGGTCTACAGAGTAAGTGAGTTCTAGGCCAGCCAGGGCTACATAGTGAAACTGTCTCTCAAACAAACAAACAAAAATTAGACAAAATAAAAGCACCTGTGGGCATGGGAAATCATTTCATGAACCCATTTTGCACCTCACACACATCTGTGAGGAAATATTTATAAAGTACTTACCCAGTGTGACACACAGTGGGAGTTTTCTAAATATTAGCTATAATTATTTAGAAATGCTCTAACTGTCCGGGTGTTGCAGCTTGCCAGTTACAAGTTGAAAGGGGCAAAGGCAGGCCAAAGAGACTCAGGGTGACTTGGCTTCAAATACAACCACAGAACTAAAAACAACCAAATCTACCCATTCACCTAACTCCAGTGTGGGTGGGAGAGTACCTAAAAGCATTCTGCATACCTTAAAATGACATCTAAACAGGAAGAGCTATGGTCTTTGAGCATGTCCATTATACCTCTTTAATCTTCAATCGGGGGAAGTGGGTCTCCTTTCCCACATTTTACTGATGAAAAACCAGAGGCCAGGAGTAGCGCTTGGAACAAGGTTAACTAGCTTTTAGTGCGAAGCTTGGTTCTTTCTGCGGCTTTCGCCAGCTGGAGAGGAGCTTGCATCGCAGGCGGTCTCACAAGAACCTAGGCTCTCTGCTTAAAAAGTTGCCTGTACCTTGTTCCCAACGTAGCCAACACAAAAATGTCACTTCACCCCCACGTAAGATATAGCGGCATTGCTTCCCACTCCTCCCACTCCAGCTGCCCACGTGGGCTGTGGTAAGCACCAGACCTTTTGGTCCTTCTCCCGGTGCATGTCTGCTTCCAGCATCTGGTTGTCCCTAGAAACCTTTACCATACTCCTTCCCAGTCTAGAGGTGAAGGTCCAGGGTACCTCCTACAGACTTGCCCAGGGCACAGACTGAAATCCCCACGGGGTGGAAATGTTTTTATTATAGCTTTGGTCAGACCAGTTGCAGCTGTTCCAGGGTTTTGTGGGTGCTGGGAAGTTATCCAGCCCCTAACCCGCTTCTCCCCGAGGCGGGGTCACTCCGCAGGAAGCAACAGCGCCAACTCCCCGCCCCCCAGACTGGGGCTGGCTGGCAGGACGGGGTGGGCAGTAAACAGTCCTATTGTACACATATACAGTGCAGGCTGGGACCAGGAAGGCGACCTGCCACCCGGGCCGGAACTGCGTGCGGGGAGGGGGGGAGCCAGAGAGGGGATTTAGCGCTCCAAGGAGTAAAGGCCTGGACTGGGTGGTTGGAGGCGGGCTGGGGGCGATTCAGCCTGGGAGGGTTGGCAGTCTGGGCCAGGCAATTTGAAAATGAGTAGGGAATGGGTTCTCATTTGCCTCTCCAGAGAGGGGAGCCCCAGGGATGAAGAGCAACTGATGGAAAGGGGTGCAGGGGTTCAGTCTGAATAGATGATGAAGCCAGAGAAAGTGCTGTATTTGTTGCTGTTGCCACCGTGCGCTTTGCCTCCATCCAGCTTAATGAAGACCTCATCGCCTGCGTCCAGGTGCAGGATCACGCTGTTGCTGGCATAGTCGTAGTTCTGGTCTGCATCCTGGGCGATGGCGCTGGCCCGTACCTACGGGTGGGGGCGGGGTGTGGGGGCGGGGTGGAGGTGGGGTTAGGGATGGGGAATGGGGCAGTGTGAGAGGGGAAGGAGGTGAGGCAGCCACATGGTGAGGATCTGGAGGCCCTCAGGTGCAGCTTTCCGGCCATTCCGGACTCGGCCTGCTTTGCCACCAGCCCACCCTACCCCCTTTTAATCATGCATCACATTTTGGGAGCAGCCATAGAGAAGCCCTGGATTCCAGGGCAGGGCACATCTGCACCCGAATTTGAAGTCCAGATGGAGTCTTCCTCTATAACTCCTGCAGGTCCTACCATCTGCCTGCTGCCCACCTCAGTGCCTCCAGGGTGGCCCAGCTTGGAAGTCCTTCCTTGCATAGAGGGCTGCCTTGTGCTTTCTGAGATGGAAGATCTGTCCTTAGCATTCCTTCCTCTCTGCTTCAATCTCCATGATGTTTTCCTTTCTCTCACACCCACCTGCTCTCATGGCAATGGATGGACAAAGGATACAGCTTGGCCAGAGGTGAGGCAGCTGGGGTAATACCAGGCTGCCAGTAAGGAGCCACCCCGGAACCAGGGCTGAACCTTTGGTCCTATCCGAAGCTCATTCTAGAGTCTCTTTTACCTTGCTACTGAGACTCAAGGCCTGGTAATTATTTCCTCTCCTGGCCTTTGATTGACCTCCCTGCCCAAGGCCGCTGGGAGTTACAGCTATATCCCTGACCAAAGGATGTTCATGCCTCATCCTAGGGTAGCAGAGAGGAACGGGATGGGAAGAAAGGAACTGAGGCCTTACATACTCAGTGGTCCTTGTCTTGAAGGGACATGAGGACAGGAGGGGACCGCTCAAGGGACGCACTAGCACAGATCTTTGAATATTGTCACGACTTTTGGAGGCTCTCACTAGTTTTAAGACATTGAGGGAAGGATATTGGTGATTGAATATCTGTGGACATTTCTGAAGCAACAAGAGAACTAAGCTTTAGGACTTAGGGTCTCCCTAAAATAAAGAGTTAGGAACAGAAGAAGAGGGGCTGGAGAGCTGGCTTAGTGCATAAGACCACAGGCTATTCTTCCAGAGGACCCAGGTTCGATTCCCAGAACCTACATCACAACTGCCTGTAACACCAGCTCCAGGGGATCCTATGCTCTTCTGTCCTCCAAAGGCACCAGGCACACATGTGATGAACAGACATACATGCAGGCAAAGTGCCCATCCACATAAAATAAAGTAAACTTTAAAAATTAGAAAGAGAGAGCAAGAGGAGAAAAGCCATCCCCTGGGTTATGGTCAGCAGTGGGGAAGGCTACGTTGAACTGGGTTCTCAGACAGCTCCTGCAACCTCGGCTGATGCCGAAGCACAGCCGGCAGTGGGGGTAAACAGAGGAGATAAAGTACAATTGCGGGTCATCCTTGCTAAAACAGCCGACTCCGCAGCAATGCTGCACCCATAGGGCCCACTACACCTCTTCCCCAGTCAGGGCTGGAACTATATGGATTATAACTGAGGAGACATCTCCTAAAACAAAGCAGGAGAAGGGGCTGGTGAGAGGGTAAAGGTACCCCTACTGCCAAGCCTGATGACCTGAATTCAGTTCCCAGATGGAAACCCGCACAGTAGGACAGATTGACTCCTGCAAGTTGTTCTCCGGTCTCCACAACAAGAAGGGTTGTGTCCCCACCTCAGTAAATGCAATAAAATATTAAAGGTATGCCCGGCAATACTGGCACACACCTTTCATCCCAGCCCCCGGGAGGCAGAGGCAAGGGGACTTCTGTGAGTTCAAGGCCAGTGAGGGCTACACAGAAAAATCCTGTCTCCCACCCCTAAAAAAAAGAAAAAAAAAGTGGAAAAAAAGAAATAAGGAAGAGACTCTGTTAATTTAAAGCCTCGGTTTCTCTGTCTAGAAAACTGGATGAGAAGTCCGTATCTCACTACTGCCACCTTTACAAACGCCTTTAGATGGCAAAGAAAAAAAATTAAGCCTTGATTGGGCTTTAAACTAGCAGAGAAGAGCAAAAAGCAAACAGCCAACTTCTGTATTGTTCCCTGGGCCCTAATCCTGGTAGTATTTATTATTACACGTGCACTTCATTATCTTTGCTAATAAATTACTACTAATAACAATTATTTTTATTACCCAGATTAATTTAGACTTAACTCATTAAAACAGTGTGCTCCTTAATAGGCAAATCCATCAGAACACAGCCATCCGTCAACAGGAATCTCCTGGTGATGTGACAGGCATCAGAAGTGTTAAGCTTATGTTTATTATTTATTCATCACCATGATTGTTGCTGTAATTATCCTAATTATCCATGGAAGCAGCAAGAATTTATGCCCTTCCATCCTGAGACAGTGGGAGATCCTGAAATGGAACCCAGGGGTCCCAATTCTCTACTCAAGACTGGAAGCCGTTGAGGCATCCAGCTCCTCTTGGGAGCCGTAGGAAAGATGGGAGAATTGAGGTTGCCATGGAATCCAGAAAGCAGCCTGTTCCTTGTCAGGAGGGATTGCCAAGAGGGGAAACCGAGGCAGTGGTTCAACCAAGAGAACCGAGTTGCTAGGCTATAGTCAGGGAAATGGCTCCTGTCCCCAGTCCAGGCTGGGGTCTTGGGTATGCAGGTGTGGCTCCCAGAAGTGGCCAAGGTGCCTGGTTCATAGAGGATTCATAGGTTTACCGGGCCCTTTCTACACGTGGTACTAGGCTCTGTGCTGTGAATGGTACCAGGAATTAGCGAGGACAGTTGGGTCTCTTTCCACCCTCCAGGTGAGGTGATCCCCAGGAGTTTTTTATGGCACGGACCTCAATTTACACATCTCTGCCAGCCTTTGCCCTCCAAGCCCTCACCCATGGGTAGAACTCACCTTCCCTGGACAAACAGCACTGACTACTGGCATGTCCTCACACGGCCTCTATATATAGCCATGTTGATCAATTTAGTGTTTACCCTGACCTGTCTGAACCAGATATGGAGGCAGACGGTCGCCCCGATCCTAGAACCCTTTCCTCAGACGCCTCATCCTAAGCACTAGTACCAGGTGCTATCAGACTGGGAGGGGGGTTGACACAAGGCTATCTCAGTGGAGGGAGGGCTGTGGACCTTGGGCAAAGGTCCTTGGGCACTTGGTATCAGATGGCAAACCCCTTTCTCCGCTCTTCTTGCCCAGAATTGGTCTGCCTTCCCAAAGAACTGGCAACCTCTTTGAAAGCAGGAATCTAGGCAGTCAACACTCTGGTGACCTCTGTCCTGAAGACATGGAGGCAGAAGTTCCTTCCCTCTGTTTCCACCCACTGTGCAGTCCTGTCATTTTCTTCTCTTCTTAGTAAAATGCTCTCACCTACCTCTGCCTGTTTCCTTCCTCTTTAGTGGCCTCTCCTTACCTGGCAAACCCAGGTTCAGCATCCTTTCCTTCCTGCCAAGTGGTTCTGAGCTAGGGTAGGACCGACCCACTGAATCACTCTGTCAGACAACACATTTGCAGGTGCATTCCAAGCCCACCTTTGATGCGGTACCTATTGAGTGGGTTATTATATGACCACTACTGTCTCTACTACATAAGCCATAAAGACCCAGTGGGCAAATGGGCTAAACCCTTGGTGCCAAACAAGCCTCACACCTTGCTTCCTGTAGGGGGTCATGACAAATATGTGGAATGATTGGTGAGATTCAGTGAGCCTCTTGGACAATCTGGAAGAAGGCACAAAAGGATACTGGGGAGGAGGCCGCAAACTCCATTGCTATTATCATATTTTTGTTTGGGAGGGATTTTGTTTTGTTTTGGTTTTTGTTTTTGTTTTTGTTTTTTGGCAGGGTTTCTCTGTAGATTTGGAGCCTGTCCAAGAACTAGCTCTTGTAGATCAGGCTGGCCTCGAACTCACAGAGATCCACCTGACTCTATCTGCTGAGTGCTGGGATTAAAGGCGTGCGCCACCACCGTCCAAGGGGATGTCTTGAGTAACTGTTAATGTGCAGAGTCTCTGAAACCCTAAAATCACCCTCAGAGAGCCTCTGGCAGCCTGTGGTCCTTCCGCCTTGAGAACTCTTCTTCATCAGGCTGTGCTAACACTGTGTTTCTGAGGGAGGGGAAAGACTTTTGGGGAATGGTTTCAGTTCCAGGACGCTAAGGCAAGTGGCCCCACTCCAAGTACATGCTATCTTAGGAGCCTCCTCAGCTCTATTGCTGGGACCCTGCTGGGAGACCCCTGTGGTGGGGCAGAGTCTATAGGCCTAGTAACCACTCAATTCGAGCAAGCCTCCAGTCCCCTAAACCTCGGCTTTGGGCCAGCTCAAACTTTCTTTGAGGAAGGAAGGAATGTCATCAATGAAGGTGACATTGCTGCATGCCTTATTGGTGATTAATAAGGGGACTTGTGGGGCTGTCTGCAGAATGAGGCTTTGCTGGATTCTGGGGCTTTCCCATTTGGTCAGGAACCAAGGACAAAGAGGAGAGACACCAGAAGCCTGATAGACACAAATGGGAGAGCTATAGAGAATTGGGCGGGTGTGTGTGTGTGTGTGTGTGTGTGTGTGTGTGTGGACGACCCAGAGAAGACAGACAGAGATGAATGGCGGATTCCGGTAAGAAATGGTCAAGAGACAGAGAAAGAAGAGGCAGAAACCATACTGGGGAGTGGAGGGAGCAGGCAGAAGAAAAAAGAAGACAAGACTTCCATGCTGATAGGCTTTCTGCCCACTCTCCTGTCCCCAAACTTTGCAGATCCCAGAGCAGGGTAGTGCTGCAGTGGGAGGGGTTCCGAGAAGATCTGGAGTCTCAATCACAGGGGATTCCCTTTAAACTTCACTGAGGTCAGAACACCTCAGTTCTGACCCCGGCCTCTGAGAAGAGAAGGTTCAACCTGACCACGCCCCCGGGGTGGGACTCACGTAACCCAGAGATGAAAGCACTGGGAACTGGGAAAACAGGGTGGGTGGTGCCAAGGAAAACGCTGTGCGCCCGCTCGCCCGCCCGCCGTCCCTATCTCAGACCCAAGCAATCCAGGGAACAAGGGAGACCTTTCCACCTCCCTATCTTCTAGGATAATGGAGGAATTGGACCTGGAGACCTTAAGAAGAGGAGTTTCTATCACTCCGCCCCGTCTCTGGAGGAAACTTTTCCCTGGAGGCGCTGGATAGCTCTGAGACTCTGGGGAAAGGTTGCGCATTCCACGGTGTTTGCAAAGGGTGTCAGACCAGTTCGAGGATTCCTTCTCTAGAGCCAGGGATGTACTGCAGCTAAGGCTATTGGGTGCCGGACTCCCTTTGCCTTTGTGCCCAAAACATTTCCTGCAGCCCTCCTCCTGCGCGCCCTAGCCACTCGGTTTAGCGCCCTCCGGCGCGGAGACTGTTTCTCCTTATCCGTGCCCTAGAGCACATCCTTGCTGTTCCCTTAAAGTCAGTCGGCGTCAGCTTGAATCTTAGCTCTCGAGTGAAATCAACCTGAATCAGCCTCCCAAGGGCCAAACCCCCAAGGACCAGTCCGCGCGCCCTAGAGCCCTATGATCTGACTAGCTGGATTTATCTTTACGCATTTTCACTCCCCGGGTGCCTTGAACCATTTGCCTTAGAGCTCGAGCCCAAGGGCTGAAGAGTCAGGGGTGCCTGTTAATTGCAACCATTCTTCATGTGATAGTTAAGAGGGCCGCTTTAGGGTCTCCACATACGCCTGCCTGGTGTGCCTTGTCGACTATGATCCAAAACGCATTCTGCTAGGGCTCCCTGGGTGCCCTGCCCCCAGGTCAGCCCCATGCTCCCTCATGGCCCACCTGGCCGTTCTTGCAGAGGTCCGCCCACATACTGGTGCCGTCGCCGCCGCGCATGAGGACGTGGTAGGTGAAAAAGTAGGTGCCAGGAATGTTGCATGTAAACTTGCCGCTGGCCGCATCGTAGTTGTTGCCTAGGTTGGTGACCACGTCGTCAAACTTGAGCACCTCGTAACCCTCATGAGGGTTCTTGAGGCCGGCATAGAAGGCCACGCGTGGCACCGTGGTATAGGTGGCCGTGCTGATGGCGCCGCTGCCTCCTGACCCCGGCAGGCCAGGAGGACCAGGCTTGCCTGGCTCACCCTTTTCCCCGGGCGGTCCCACAGGACCCGGAGGGCCCCGATCCCCTGGAGGCCCGGGGGGGCCCGGCATGCCGGGCCCGCCCGGGCTTCCCGGGAG